TTATTTTCTTTTATCATCCAAAAATATGTATGTACTCTATTTGGTTCTAATTATGGGGAAGAGAGAAAAGATTTTTTTTATCTCATTTATAAGTCATTTCATTAAATTTTCATCATATTTTTTTTTATTTTTTCTCCATTAAATGTTAGAGAAAGAAAATATATTATTAAAGTTTGCATATTTAGTAGGAGTAAAATTAAAAAATTATTAAATTTTACTTTTTAAAATTTTAATAAAATATTTTAAAAATAATTTATAAATAGAATAACAAGAGTATATGAAATAGAGGCAAGGTTGACTCAAGCAGGTGTACCAACTGGGAAGCAGAGAAATTGAAGTGTAAGGAGGAGGAGGTCCACATTCTGAAGAGGATGATGGGACAATGAAACCTAATACATTTGGCTGTAGCCACCTTTTGCGGCTATGCTTCATGATAGGGGTAGCTTTACCCCTTTGTCTTCGGGCCGACGGCACTCCCAATGTTTTCAAATTAAGATAGGCCAAGAGCAATGAATTACAGTTTTTATTATTCAATCGGTTAAATTAAAAAATAAATTAAAAATATAAAAATTAAATAAAAATAATATATATATATATATATATATATAATTTATTGATGGTGTTTATAATCTTGACATTAAAAATTGGATGCTTGAACTATTAAAATTAAAAGCAGAAGCATATCGTCATAAACTTGCAATTTGAAGCAAAACGTTGGAACTATAGACACGACATTATGTCACAACTTATAAGCTTCCCGATCTCAAGGTTAGATAATTAAAGTTAGAAGTAAAGATTGGAGGAGAGGTTAGAAATTAAATTTAAATTGTGAAGGAGAAATAAAAAATTAGAAAAGAGAAAATAAAAGAAAACTAAAAAATAAAGAAGAGAAATTACAAGTCTGAATGACTTAGCTTAAATTTTTTTTTTTATTCTTTTGATTTTGACCTAAGTTTACCCACTCTAATTTTTCAATCAAATCTAATTTTCTTAAAATTGATTGGGTCAACTCAATCTAAATATTAAGTTAGTCTAACTTATTGAATCAAGCTATTTTGATCAGTAAATGACGATCGGCTGACACCACCCAATTCATTCACGTCGGGTACCTTTTTCAAATTAATGTATACGGCTATACTCCCAGGAAATACAACTTCGTTTTTTCAAATAAATGAGACATCATTCAATTTTAAAATTTTTTATTATAAATAAAATGACAAAGCATTAACTGTATTATTCTAAAATTATCCCTCACAAATAGATGGTATTATTAAATTAAAAGGAGAAAAAAGTAAACATTAGTTACAATCCAAATATTTTAATTCCAGATATAATTATTGTGAGTAACTGATTTAAAAAAAAAAACTTTGTGAATTTGTTGAAATTACTGTGAGTAACAAGCAATATATTCCAACTAAGTATTTTTGTTGGCATGCTGGTCCGAGTCTGTCATATTTCTAATTTCACCTCTAACAATATAATGTATAGAGAGTATTAAATTAGATCGGGATCAACACGCTAACAAAAATACTTATCTAAAATATATTGCGCGTGCTATTAATGTGTTGCAAAAAGAATTACTTAATAAGAAAATAATAAAGAGATGAGCAGAAAAATCCCTTCATTAATTTAAAGGTTTATTCTTTTCATTTTTAATACAAAGTTATAAAATATAAAAATATAAAAATAATAAATTTGAATGGTGTAATATTTTAAAAAAATTATTAGTTGAGTAAAAAATTATAAAAAATGACCTAAAAAATTTAAGAAACTCAATCAATATTAAAGATATAATCAATATAAAAAATTACAAGTCAATTATAAATTTTTAAAAAACTAGTTTGAACTACTAATATTTAAAAAATACTTTATAAATTTTGAATGAATATTATAAATAATTGATGTTACTACTTGTGATCGAACAACTGATATTTAAGTCTTATATAATTATTGATAAGTCAAGTCATGTAATTTATAATTTATATTAATAAATTAATAAATAAAGTAAAAAAATTAATAACAAATAATTCTGCATCTCAAAAAAAAATTAACAAGTAAAAAGTACTTTATTTTTTTACTGTTAAAATTATATTAACTTTAACCCTTCTAAATTAAATTAAAATTTTAAATATTTTAAGACTCACATGTAATTAAATCACATCCCCATTCTTTAGTTGAAATTATTTCTTTTTAATACACAAAATGTAGTGTGACCAATAAAAAACCTTGCCTGCGAGTTATAGGGTCCACATTTGGTGTGCATTATGGGGATGATAGAATAATGTCACCCCTATTTGCCTATTGCCTCTGCTTAATGAATCTGCTTTAACTTCCTTTGTCTTTGGCCAGTGCCTACATACCAGTGACGGCGTGCATTAATTTTTCAAGCTAGTTGGGCTTTTTATTCGCTGTCTTGTCTTTATTGTAAACTATTTTTAATTATTTATTAAAATTAATAAATAAATGACAGATAATTTATTAAATATATTTTGAAATAAAAAATTCAAATTTCTCCTTATAAAAATAGGAAAAAAGGATACATATTATACTATGAGTCATAAAATTAAATTTATAACAAAGATAAAATTAGAAAACAATAATAAATAACTCTCCATGTGCCTTTATATTAAGAATCAAATAATTCTTTTAGAATGTGTTATAGTATAATCTGTAATTTGGATCAAGTTTGAATCGACCCAAAAAATTTAAGACCAAGACACAAAAAAAATATTTTTTTAATGTTTGGACCTATTTTGGCCACTTCGAATGCCTGAATTAAAAAATATTTTTAAAATTTATAAAATATAATAAATATTAATTAATTTTTATGTTTTATTTCATTTTATACTAAAACACTATATATTTAATTGTATTATTATATTTATTTTTTTAAAAATAAAAATATTTATATTTTTTCATATTTTTAATCGATAAATATCTCAAAATAATATTTAAAATATATTTTAATATTTATTTTATATTTTAAAACTTATTTTTTAAAAAAGTTTTGAGTCATATATTGTCTGAGTACTCAAAAAAAAAATACGTTTTTTTGTAAAATAAGAAAATTAATTTCACAGTCAAAAATAAAATTAAAAATAATTTTAAAAGTACGAATTCTTAACTTTACTACTAGATAAATATAATAAATAAAATAATATTTTTAAATAATTATTTAGTCATTGTCTATACAAAACTTGGTTAAAATTAAGAATAAATTAGAGTAATTACTCCAATTATGTAGAAGTTAAACAATATAAAAAGGTATAAAAATAATTTTATAAAAAATAGTATTTTACTCATAATTAAATGATTTTATTTTATACTCCCTTCAATCCTTATTATAAAATATTTTTAATTATGTCATGCATCTTAAAAAAATAGTTTTTTTATATCATAAAAAAGTAAGATATACTTTCATTTTTACCCTTAATTTTAAATAATAATATAACTACATTAAATATATTCATGCCAATCAAGAAAAAGTAAAATTAAAAAAGTGATTTAATTATTATAAGATGTCCTGTATTTTAGATCAAAAATTATATTTAAAAGGTGTTTTATAAATAGGATCAAAGGGAGTATTATATAATAATGATTATTTTTTTCATATTCTTAAAAATAAAAAATATAATTTACGCAAAAGTTATTGAAAACTTTGAATTAATTGGGGCAATAATTTTAAGTTAGTAGTTTAACCGTGATTGAATTAAAATTAATTTAATTATAATTAAAATAATATAATTTAATTAAAATATATAATATATTTAAATATGATCATGACAAGAGCAATATTTAAACAATTAAAATATTAATTTATAAGTAATGAAAATATTCATGAATAAATTATATATAATATAACAAAACTGTAATAAAGTTACTTAAGTACAATATTAATAAATTATTATTTTTTCCTTTATTCTTTTAAAGACAAAATAATATTTTATATTTAAAAATATTTACTTAAAAATTAAAATACGAGCTTTTCAGTGTCAAAGCCCAAATAAGCTCGAAACCTAATGGTGTTAAAGTCGGGCTTAATTATATAAGTTTTTCATATAAGGTAAAATGCTTTAAATCTAACCTAAATAAGTTCGTATCTCATGAATTATCAGCTTTAGCTGTAAGATAGAGATAAAAGGGAGTATTATATGAAGCTTGAGGAAAGGATACTATGGCCAGCATGAAAATCTGAAGGGCACTCTCTTTATTTAGTATTATGAGGCACTTTTACTAGTATTATATCTTCAATGAATTAATTAATTATCTTTAAAAATTGCACACTCTTTTTATATTTACTTTTATTTAATAGGGTTCTCAATTAAAAAATATTATTAATTACACATCCTAATTAAGGGTATTTATAAAAAAAATTATTAATTGCTTATTGAAAGATCCAAAATGCCTTCTATTTTTTGACATGATACTTTGAAAAAATACCTCATATATTAAATAGAAGGAGTATTATTTATAATTTATAAGTAGTACAATTAATTATTCTTTACATTCAAAATTATAAAACACTTTAAACTAAGCTAGCTTTTACTTTTAACCAAAAAGAAAAAGATAACATTATTAAGAACTACTTTTTTTTTCTATGTTTACTCTTATTTAATAGGACAATTTATATACAAATAAATATGAAAATTTTATTAATTTCAAATATCTATTAAAATGTTTTTGGAAAATATCATTAATCATTCTTAGAAAAAAAATATTAAAATGTATTATATTTTTAAACACAAAAAAAGTAAAAAAATGCCTTATAAATCAATTCTGAGTTATGAGTTATGATTGTGGTTGATTTGCCGTCATGTTAAATTTTAAAATTATACATTCCAACTTTTTATAATTTTGAATTTACAAGATTAATTGAATTCACACTTAAGTTAAACATTCTAATTTTTTTTAACTACTTCATCAACATTTCACCTTAACTTATCTACCACACATTTCACATTGGCAAAATTATGTTGAAAGATCAGAATCAGAATTCTTCATGCTAAAAGATCGCAGATTTCTAAAATTACTTCGAAGGATGAAGGTACTTTCTTTGTAAAAGAAAAATAATTGTGATAACTAAATTGCCCCTACCAATAAATTTCCAATTTATGAGAATTCTCATGCCCATCATTTGTGATTGATCATCAAATTCTCTTGCCAAGCAGAGTCATCAAGAACTCTTTGTAGTCACTTGAAGTATCCCTGACGATTGCTCCTTCAAGATCTTCATGGTACATGTTAGCATATTCCTCTCTCACTCTCAACATGTCAATCTCAACTCGATTTATCACAGCTCTGTTTAGAGACTCTTCATCAGTTCCAAGCCCAATTATAGAATCTCTCAGAACCTGTCCATGAATGATATCATAGAAGCTTAAAACAGAAACACATCAATTCGAGCACTTATATATATATATATATATATATTCCATGAACTTGGTCCACAAAATGATATTTTTACTTTTGGTTGAGAACTCTCCAATATTTGATACTACCCACCAATTTGGATTTAAGGTCATGTCAATGACCTTGAGGGACATTGAATTCCTTCCGCTTCAACCCAATTAGATAATTGGCAAAAAAAAAAAAGAAAAAAAGGTAAGTCATGCTATCCATCAATTTGGGGTGAAGAAAAAAAATACCTTTGCAAAATGTTTCTCAGGGCGTTCCACACACCATAATACCACATTCAAAAGAGATTCCAAATCACCATTACCACATTTTTTTATGTCCTGAAGAGAAAATCACCCAAGTCAAGTTCTTTACATGATATGTAAACATGAAAAGACTTGAGATTTCAAGTGAAACCTCTTCCAATGCAATCCCATAAAGTTTCTTGTAGCATGCAAAAGTTTCCCGGAGCTGGAAAAAATTCCTGGTGCTAAGTACCCAAATCAGGTTTTCATCGTCTAATTGCTTTGAGTCGACTGCTCCGTGCAGCATTGATGCCTCTGACTCTACTATCTCCAAGTTTACAGCTTCCTTGTCATATCTATAGGATCTCACTAGACTCATTAGAAGCTGCACAGTACCCAGATCGATCATACATCGACAAGAAACCAGAGAATATTGGAAGTTAAACTGTAGTGTGAAGCAGGAGTGCCACTGAAAATTCTGACATCAATACATGTTCAGTTGAGTCCATGAATTATAAACAGATGTAAATTAATATGTAAAAATGGAATAACTTTTACCTTGATTTGCATGTTTTTGTTTTAAAAATTTTTCCTCTCCCTACGGTAAGTCTTGATTTTCATGATTTTCATTAATAAATTTGACTACATGCGGGCAGGCAATCCATGAGGGATTGTACTCGCATGATGATATAATTATGGCCTTGACATATACTTCAACCCTCAGTCAACTGGACATAAGTTTCACACAGAAATCAACCTTCCCAGGATTAGTAAGTAGAAATTAAAGTTAAAACAAGCATTCTATTCATGATACATATTACTCACTGCCCTGAAAATTGCATTATATTCACCTATACTTATTTTCTACATGAGGGACTCGAGAACCCAATTGCAAAGTATAAGACGTGAGTCCCTATACAGGAGTGAGAGATTATGATATAGGGTTTATATAACGGGCTTTCCCAATCTGACCAGATAAATGATTTTGTTAAGTGGTTCAGCAACTTCATTGATTTACCTTTCTGATGGGCTGAGAAACACAGGATGCAATGTCCTCTTCAAGCGAGCAATCAAAGATAGAGCAGTAAGCCTCCCTCACAGACATTAGATGGTTAGGAGTGGATGCACATGCAATTTCAACCAGGACCTGTAGGTGTGTCACATCTTTTTTCCTATCCTTCAATGCCTTGTTTGCTAGGTGTGCATCCCTTTCTGGAGGGTCATATGTCCACAGAATTACTGCATCCTGTTACATAAAAATCCTGAGTTGCATTCTACTATTGTGTATTTCATAATAATTTCAGGAATATAGTTTGCTTTTATTATTATGTTTTTCTTTGCTCATCATACCACCCGGTATCTTAGAGTCGCATTAGACCGACTAATATAAGTCAAGCCAAGTGAAAAAGGGAAGCAAAACTCTTCTGATGAATTTTTAATACAACTATATACCCAAAGCTCAAACCTGAGTGGCTGAAACCACTAGTTAAAGTAGCATGGCCTTCACCTAGCTGAAATATGCACTTATTGTTATAGTATGATTTATAATGGAACTGAAATTTTACCACCAAATTTTGTTTATTGTCACCGTGAATCTTCATGACCAGATAGCATAAAAATATAGCACCTTTGCAGACTGCACTAACATTGTTCACCAAAGCACTGACGTGCAAATGGATATTTGAATTGACAAGAAATTAGTCAATTACTATAACTTACCTATATTATCATTATCTATTTACTGTTAAAAACAAGGTTACTCTTATGAACCAACAATAATATAGTAAGCCTCAAGGAAAGACAGAGAAAATGATTATGCGACCTAAAGCTTCCTTCAAAGAGGAAAAAGTAAAACAATGAACAAGCTTGATGCTGTAGTTTACTTCTCTTAGTAACAGTGAACATGCAAGGAAGGGTACTCATAATTCCAAAGGCAAATATGTGGATACATAGAGATTATGCAGAGGGTGAAACGCAAGGACAATCGGTTTCATATTTACAATAATGGCCGCAAAAATTACAAAAAATGAGAAGATGAATCAAATTAACTCAAAATTAAAACCCAAATTGTGGAATCAAACTCAGAACAAGATTGATAGATGTATAGACAGGCAAACTGGACACTGAAGCTACATATATATAGGAGGGAAACTAATAGTCTGTTACATTTTGAATCATCGAACGAAAACTATGGCATGAAATTAGCACAAACAATCAAACCAAGTACATTATTTATAGGATATGTGTGTGTGTGTGTGTGTGTGTGTGTGTGTGATAAAATGTTGATGGCTTGCCCCTAGAATTTTAATACAGACAAAGTTAAGAGCAAGAAGCATGATATACTCTGAAATTGCTGGAGAGCCCTTTATGAAGGCGATCAATGAGTGATTCATTGAATAGCTGCTGGTAAGTTTCTCTGATTTCCTTCCTTTGCCTGGCATTCCGGTGTCCTAATACCCAGATTACTTCCTTCCCATCCGTCAAAAATCCTGCAACATTGTACAGTAAAAACAAAGCATATCTTACGTAAATACTTGACCTAATATCCATGAATCATAGAAAGATTAAAATACCATTCAATCCTTAAAAGAAATATCATCTATCAATTTAATCACAAACCATTTGTAATTATTATTATTATTTTTTTAAAAACATCAGCAACAAAACAATCCTGTCCTGAGCTCTGTTAACCACCAATTTGTACTCACATTACAACAACTACCCTGGAGGAACTAAGAAAAATAGAATAGAAAACTAAGAAAATTAGACAATTTGTGGATAACCCCGACAAAGATTAAAGGAAGAGAGACCTTCGAAAGCCCTTCGGAGTCGCTCGCAATCATGGGTGGGAGAAGGAACAATCTCTGGGACTCTAAGGGTGCTCATTTCTGTCAGAGATTTTTCTCTCTTCCAGGAAATGAGTATTTGGTGATTAGAAAATCCCAAGTTATATAATTTTTGAGAAAATCCAGCCTTGTTCTGTTTCGTCTGTTTCTCATTCACTGAGAGTCCGGACGAGAGGGGAAAAAAACTACTCATAACTGTCGATCAGAGCTGAAACGCAGGATTTGCGACCGTTTTACTCGAATGAATAACCAATGATATTTTTCAATGCACATTACACAGTGTCTAGTTTAATGTTTAACCATATTAAATATAAAGTTACTATTGCTGGTCAAAAAAAAATATTAAGTTACTATTTGGCATGGTACTGAAACCGTTAGCTGGAAAGACCAGTGAATTGCTGGACCAGTCTTTTAACCAGTCTGATCAAGAATTTCGGACAGGTAGATCAAGTTGATTTTTTTTTTTCTTTCCCTTTTTTACTTACCAAGCCCAAAAATGACATTGTTTTAAATTTAAAAAAATTAAAAAAATAGCAGTCCATCATGTTTGTGCTTTTTTTCTTTTTATTTTGCCAATAAACATGCTTTCGTTGAAACTAAAACAATTATAGCATGCAAGTATAGATGAGACTGAAATTAAAAAACAAGACAGAAATAAAGTGAAAAGAGTTAACCAATGCCTTCACATGGGTTACCAACATCACAAAAACTTGAGCATCTTCAAATAAAATGGCCAAAATAGAGGATAGTGGATTAACCAAAAATCTCGAGGGATCCATCCTTTTCAAATTAAAACAAAGGCTGTTAAAAGATTTATAATTATATTACCATATATGTAAGTGGAGGAGAAAGAGACCCAACTCAACCTCTTTTTGATATCCCAAGCATCATGTTTGTGCTTTAGTTACGATGTTCTATTAGATTACGTGTGATCTATACATAAATATTTCATTTACATATGAATTAATGCCTTTTTGTTTAAATATTCTTTTTCAAAACTATGTACAAACATTTTTTTCTTATATTTTAATTAAATTATGTTATTTTAATTATGATTGAGTTTAACCTAGATTCAATCACGTTTAAACCACTTAGTACTTATTTTTGAATTGTCTTAATCGCTTCAATAACTAATTTGCTTGTTAGTTTTTTGTTTGGCTAAAAGAAAATATTGAGCTACTATTATTTCCACACACACAAAAAAAAAAAACACATAAAGAGAGTTGCGAGATCCAATATAACCGTCAAAGGAATGTGTGACGAGTTTTGTGGGAGTTTTCAGATTCAACATCTGTTTGTTGCAAAGTTATAATGTAAAGATTAATTACCTTATTAAGATGTAAGAGCAATACATGGTCAGTAGGTAGTAATAGTATTGCATAACTGTAAATTAAATAATTCATTACTTTACCGTATTTTCAGAAAGACTGTCTTCGTTAATCGAAACGCTGTTTTAAATTGTAATTTTGTTTAAGAACCGTAATTAGAAGTGACGAAAGTGATTAACACACAACATAAACAGCAAACGCTCTCCGATACGAAAGAAATGACGAAAGTGACCTGACAGATTCGTATAAATATTGAGCTAGAACACTTCAGTCTCTTCAATCCTACAATGGCACTCCCCGAAGAGGTAGAAGCTCTCACCAAAGCTTTCTCAGGTTCCTCTCCACTTCTCTCCTCAAATTGTACCAATCCAAATAATTCTCTTTAAAATTCATTACTCGTATATTACTTTCATTGTCTCCAATACTGATTCTGCATGTCATTTTGAAGTTTGCGAACTCGTATAAATTTCAGTGCTGTGAGATTTCACTGGAATTACGATTCCCATTGATTTGGGATTCATATTTAGGGTCTCCAGTATCATAGTCAGTCAGCTTTTAGGGATAGCTTCTCAGAAGATTTATTTTACTTTTATTGTTGAAAATTTTTCGAAGCTTCAGAGTATGGAAATTGATTCTTGTTGTGTTGTTGATGATGAAAGGACATGGAATTGATGAGAAATCAGTGGTTTCGATTTTGGGAAAATGGGAGCCGGAGAATAGAAAAGCTTTCAGGAAGGGGACGCCACATCTCTTCATAGAGGATGAACGCCAATTTGAGAAGTGGGATGATCGTCGTGTTCGACTTCTGAAACACGAATTCATGCGTTTTAAGGTATATTCATGCTGCTCTTACACACATGCACGCACGCACGCACGCAAGTTATTTTTCAACTTGGTCACTCATCAAAATCTCTTCCCAGTATACGTCATGTTGGCATTTTTCAGGTTAGTCGCTCTACTACTACGAGGATCATTGTCAGTAATAATCCTTTACATACCAGTAACAAAATTGAGATACTCATCTTAGAGGAACCGAATTGAGGAAGTTATTTTATAAAGGACCAAATTGAGTTACCTCTTATTTGGGTGGGATTTGATTGAACAAACTGTTGCATGAATAATTAAATCGATAATTTCATTATCTATACATTAAAGCACTACAATTAAGTTTTACTCTATTTATATTACTCCACACAAATTTTTTCTGGAAGTGTCTTGAACTAGCAGGAAACCGTAATTTAAATTTTTGGTTGTGTGAGAATAGTTGCTCGAAAGGAAGTAAGTCTCATAAATCCAAGATAGAACTGATTGCCAAGAAGTCTCAAAGGATTGAACTTAAACTCTTGCAAAATTCTATTCAAAATTATAACCAAATTCTGAATCACCAAGTAAGATTCACATTATGCGTCATTTTAAAAAAAAAATGGCAGAGGACATAAGTATCATTTGTGTTTATCAGAATGCGGTGGTATTGTGGGCAATGCATCCATGGGAAAGAGATGCCCGTTTGGCAAAGGAGGCGCTGAAGAAGGGTCCTCAGGCCTATGGATTGCTGGTTGAGATTGCATGCACCAGGACCTCAGAAGAGCTATTGGGAGCTAGGAAGGCCTACCATTCTCTTTTTGACCGTTCCCTTGAGGAAGACATTGTCTCACTTGTTGATGGTGTGGAACGTAAGGTGAGTGTCCCCATACTAAGGGCTTCACTCAAGACTACCCATAATAATGATTGTTGTTCTCATTGGTTGATGGTTAAGATATTCCTATGTAGATCTGAAGGATACTGTACCAACAAGCTTTATTCCACTAAGTGGAGAATTGATAAATCAAACTAATTATGAATGGAAAAGCAATCATAGCAAGCAAGTTTTCTTGTATACTAGTGTTCCTATGTATTCATGAATAGCCTTGTTTAATTCTATTTTGTAGACTAAGTCTACCCTAAAATTTTTCATTTGACAATCACCTACTTATGTTTGATACCTTTACTGGTCTGTCACTTTGATTAATCCGATTTGCAGTATGTGGAAATAGATCAATTATGAATAAACATGTAAGCATGTCAGGACACCTTCCATTCAGACCTACTTCTAACATGGTTACATACACATGTCTATTTATGATTCGCTTGGTCTACCTCTACAGACTATCTAAGAAGTTTTTCTGTGTTGTTATTTGTTGGAAAATAAGTTTTCTAACTTTGCTGCTGTTGCTTTTGGGAACAGCTCTTTGTTTCCCTTGTGAGTGCCTACAGATATGAAGGATCAAAGGTTAAAGATGAGACTGCAAAATCAGAGGCCCAAGAACTTTCCGTTGCCATTAAGGCTGGTTATGAGAAGCCAATTCTTGAGGATGAGGAAGTAATAAGGATACTAGCAACAAGAAGCAAACCTCATCTCCAGGCAGTTAACAAGCACTATAAAGAGTTATATGGCAAAAACCTTGATGAGGTATTACACGCTACTAATGCACTTCTTAAGTATAAACAAATTATATATATATATATATATGCTATAAGCCTCATGTTTAGTGTTTTAGATTTCAACCCTTTAAGTTTCTGTTTTCCCCCTGTCAAAGATTCACCTGAGAAGCTGTATTTCTGTTCAAAACCTCTCTGCCTTTGGCTAGGATCTTGATGACTTGAGGTTAAAAGAGACTGTGCAATGCCTATGTTCCCCTTTAGCATACTTTATTCAGGTAATGTTGAACCAAACTGCTCTGCTTTAATTTTTTTAATTATATAATTGTTTTTATACCTATCTTGTATCTAACATGAAGCATTTGAATCTCCCTTGGATCTTCAAAACGTGCTACCCTACCGCATGTTTAATCTTACAGTTAAATGTTAGCAAAACTGATTGCACTTGAAATACTCCTCTGGTCTTATTTATAAGGCAGACAGAGAAGAAAAAATTTGATTCTATTTATAAGGCACTTGTCAATTTTCAATGTTCATCTTTACATTTTTTTTCTTTATTAAATGCTTTAAATAAAAATACCACTAATAAGATTTAAGAGTATTTATTAGGGATAAAGGTAGAAGCTTGTTAAATTTTAAGACAAAGTTAATGAGGTTTAAGATTTTCCTTGATTCTAATGAAACATACTGGAAGTAACTTATAAATAGGATCAGAGGGAGTATCGATTAAATTAGAAGAGGTTATTCTGAAGAGAATTTGTATTTTTTTTTTTTTCGGTCCCTCAGGTTCTGAATGCAGCATTGAGATGTGATGCAGATAAGAATACCAAGAAAGCTCTTGCTCGTGTGATTGTTACTCGAGCTGACACAGATATGAAGGACGTCATGAACGAATACCAACAAGCCTATGGAGTTTCTTTATGCCAGAAAATTGAAGATACAGCTAACGGGAACTTCAAGGATTTCCTGCTAACCTTGATTGCCAGAGGATGCTAATTTTAGAATTTGAACAATAAACAAAATCTAAGAGTCTAGTTGAATTAATTTGAAAATTAATGTGGTTGCATTGTAGCAAATCATGATACCAACTTTGATTTCAGAATTAATAAGTAATAAACAATTGGAAGTTACTAGAAAATCCTGTTTGAAATAGTGAGCCAACCAAAGCCATTACTTATGTTGGCCGTTTTATTTTTGGATCTGTGAATGTTGAGCAGTTGAACGTACCACTAAAATATCTGAAAAAAAGATGACGTGTTCTTACTTTAAAGTTTATACTAAGCCAAATAAATAAATAAATAAATAGACAAAGCTACTTAATCCAATAAAAATAAAAAGAAAAAAGAAAAGCCTGCCTAAAATGATGTGGAGGTGCATCGGAGCTGAACGTGTTAAAAATGTGAAAATATCTCACTTCTGAGTTAGACCTTAAATATTAAGAACATATTAACATTAATGCATGGCCATGACTCATGAACATTTATTCTATTGAAACTTTTATCCAAAGTGTTCAGGTTTAGAAAGTAAAGAAAATCAGGATGCAAACATAAAAAATAAGTATATTTAATATGATATGAATAGAACAAAAGTATTATTTTATTTAATATGTGATTGGATAACAATATTAAAAATAAAAAAATAAACAATCATGATGATCTTAATCCTTAATAAAATAGGATAAATTGGCCCCAATGGTTGAAAAAAAAATCTTGTGTTTAAAAAAATATGGATCAAATTTTTGAAAATTTGAAAGTATAGAGTTCATATTGATATACAAGGAATTTATCATCAATGTGCAAGAGATTTATTATTGATCTATAAATGATTTATTATTAAAAAAATTAAAAATTTACAAAAGGTTTATCATTGATAAATATAGTAAACCAACCATAATACGAAATATTATAAATATTGGGCTGTTTATTTGATTTAATCTTATGACATGGGCTATACCTGTATCTTCATTTATCCAAGAATTGTTGGGAGAATGACATATAGATTTTAAGATGATCAATTAATTTAAATTAGGTCATAGGTGTCAAATTTTATGAATTTGTTAGTCCGTCTTTTAATTTTATAACTTCATTATAATAAATTTGTAAATAAATTTTTAAATGTTAATATGGTTGAACAATAAATAAATTTGTTATCTCTTTTAAAATTTAAAATATAAGTTGCCACTTTATCACAATAAAATTAAAAAATTAAGAGCTAAACTTACAAATTTTTGAAGTCACTTCAAACTAATTTGACCTTTGTCATTCTCCCAAAATTAGTAAATTCTCCATGCAATGCATGGGCCATATGCAATAGCTTTGTTTTTCAATAAATGATATATCTATCATTTGTGATGAATTTTTACAAAAAATATATTTTGTTGACACATTCTCCCAATTGTTCTATATGTAATGAGAATTTTTAGCTATTATTAATAATAAGTTTGCTTGTTTAAGATCAAAAAGTAAGTATTTTTTTAGATATTTTAGCAATTTTATAAATATGTGTGTGCATGTGCTGTAGAAATCTTATAAAAAATAGATATTATTTTATGTTAGGTTACAATAATAAAAAATAATTATTAATTTGTTATTTTTTTAAATGTTATGATATCCTCCTTTATTTCTATTTTATAAAAATAATTTATTATTTAATTATTTTTAAATTTTATAATATCTTTATATATCTCGTATTTTTAAAACATTTTCTTTTATCTATTGCATTATATTATTTTTAGAAGTTATTCAAAGTAGCTTCTAAAAATAATTAAAATTATAAATTATTTTAGGTTTTGATTATTCTCAAAAATTTAAACAAATATAGTAAAAAATCAAACAACATTTTTTTTCAAAAAAAAATAATTGATTTTTTATAAAAATAAGCTAAAACAAATGGGCTCATTATGTCAATTATGCATAAATAGAGTATAACAAAATGATAAAAATATATGTTGAAAATATATACAATGTAAAGCAAATTAAGAAAAATTCATATTTTTTTTGGTTGAATTATCAAAGACTTCACTATAAACTATATTTGAAATTCTCATGGTGGTGAGTGACCATATACCCTCATTAAGAATCAATATTTTTAAATATTTCATACTTTGAACACAAGAAATAACAACATATAGTTGGTTGTGGGAAAAAATATGATAAAGCTATAGGTACAGTCTAAAATTACACAGGCTTTGACTCTAGTTTTATAAATGGTCATAAAAAAGACAATATAATGAAAAGCTACCTTCTCATAATAAATGGCAACTTGGAATCAAACAAACATATAACAATATACATTATACATATTTTCATCCCTTCATTTGATCTGAACATTTCTTGAGCCACAAAAATATGTTTTTCAATTTGTATAACTATAAGATGTATGGCATTGCACAATTCCATAAACTTATTAGTTCTTTATATTATAATAATTAAGACATCTATTTCAAGCCTTATTTCATGATTCAAGAGGCTTAACATTGAAAATGAATTTAGAAAATCTATAAGTGAATTCATATTTTCATCATTTTTCATGATATTATTGGAGTTCAAATATTCAATTTTTTCATCAGGGAGCGTGGATAACATGTACCTATTTATTTTTTCAACCACAATAACATATGTAAGAGCTAATATAATCTTATCCCTAAAATATAAAAAATTATAGATATTAATGTTATATAAACTTGAAAATGTCAAATCAACAATGAACTTTATTAAGTCATTTGATTAATTCAAATTAGGTCCCAAACTATCAAACTTCATGAATTTGCTAGTCCATCTTTTAATTTTATAACTTCATTGTAATAAATTTACAACTTACTTTCTAAATGTTAACATGGTTGAATAATAAATAAATGTGTTATTCCTATCTCTTTTAAAATTTGAAATATAAATTATAAATTTATCACAATAAAATTAAAAAATTAAGAGCCAAACTTATAAATTCTTGGAGTCACATCAAACCTAATTTGACCTTTGTCATTCTCCCAAAATTTTTGGTTGTATCTTTAAATTTTATTTTGCATTCTAGGACTTATTTTTATTCGGGTTTTAAACACGAGTCACTTTATAATTGTTTTTCAATATATATTTGAAAACAAGATTTTTGACTTCATGTATAGCGGCAAAAAAGAAAAAAAAAAAAATATTATTTAATGACTTCAATTAAGATAAAAATGGTTTTGAAATGCTGTGATATTTAAAAAAAAAAAATTAAGATCCTCAACTAATTTTATATTATTTTTTTATTTATGTGATTCAAATTACAAGCTGTGGAATAAATATAGAGAAGACTCGATTTTAATGATCTTGGGGCCTAGTAAAACCAAGTTGCTCCTTTAAGGAACGGCTGCGTTTTGATCCTGTGATACTTGTGCTTTGTACACCGCCAAGTACCTGCATTAATTAGCATGTGATTGTTTCAAACTTAATCAATAGTTTTGAGTTCAAGCCAGATATGGTAGAGCTTGCTACCCAAAAGATTCCTATCCTACACGATCTGAATTAGTTTGGTCCTCTTCAGTTCTCTCAGCTTGACACATGCCAGGCCATGATACTGAGTGCTGCATTTTGAGGATTTGCTGTAATAAAACTGAGAGAGAGATTCATTTTTTATCTTTGAACCGAAGCATGAGGCATCTCTCCATTATTCATTACGGCAACCAAACAAAGCATATCATAAAGTAGCAAGATCACAGCCCGAAGTTGTCAAACCACGCAGTAAAAAGGGCAATATCAAGAAGGAAGTAGGACTCAGACAACGAAATCCTACAGAGTTCAAACCACCACTCTAACTCAGACCCATCATCAGAAAATGCCCTCTACACAACTTGAAAAGCCTTAATCTTCCTTTCCCAAGAGAGTGAGGAGGAAGTTCTTGTAGTCTCCTGAGATCTCCTTGGCCACTGCCTGCTCAAGATGAACACTGTTCCTCTTGTAATACAGCTCTTTGATTTCCCTCAGGTCCTTTTCTGCTCTGCTCACGATCACACGGGTCAGTGCATCCTCATCAGTTCCCACTTTCTTTATTGCATTGCGCACCACCTGTTTGATGAAATTACTCCCATCAGTGAATCCTTTGTTTCTTCGTTCAAAAACATGTTACGTGTTATGATCTCACATTTGGAAGAAGAAAAATTGACACCTTACCTTTTCATAGTACTTGGTGTGGTCATTGAAGCAGCGGATGGCTGTGTGCAAAGCCTTTTGGAAGTCATCTGATGTCTCATCCACCAATTTCTGCACAGATAAAAACGGGGGGAAAACAGCAAACTCTTCGTTTAGTCACATATTTGGAGGAAAAATTAAGGATAATGAAAAAGTTAGGAGCCTCTTTTGCTGGTACCTTCGAGATGGAAGTGCCATGGGCCTCTCTGTAGCGATTGAAGGTTGCAACAAGTTGAGCCTTGCTCCTTGTGGTCAGGATCCTAATGACTTCCTCTTGGCTTCCTTTTTTCTCCTTGATAGCCTCATGAAAGATCTCAGCTTCAGATTGTGCCAATCTCGCATTGATCTCTTCTCCGACATACCTATATGAGGTCACCAACCCCACCAAAAGCTGGGCCCAAAAAATACCCCCACAGAGAGACTCAAACCATGTTAACATACCTAAATAAACACCTCCATCTCACTTCTTTTCTTTAACAAACCCACTTCATTATACCGTCTTTCACTATTATATTCAGTGAAAATTTCGAAGTGAACTCAGTTATCTCAGAATGAAAAAGATCAAGCTAAAGGTATGAATGGATTGAGGTACAAAGTTGAAAGTAATGATGAACTTGCCTGGCGAAGATGGCCTGAAGTAGCAGCAGCAACATCTTCTTCCAATGAGTGCTTGTAGCGGAGGAGATAAGCACGCCTCATGGCAAGCAGCTCTTCAGGGGAGAGCACTGTGGCAATCTCTGCAATCACATGGTAGTTTTTGCCATCCCTGATGACCACATGGGCCAACACTGCATCACGATCTGCAGGTTCCAGAATCCACCGATACACAGCCCTCTGTTTTGTATGTACACAAGATTTGTCAAGAAAACTACAGATAAGTGAATTCCTGAGAATTTGTTTGAACTCTTGCG